TGCTACAGAAATAATCAGCAGTGGAGATGGTGGTGGTATGGGACACAATGGTAGCAGGTGCCTTGACTTGTCATCGCTGGAGGACAGCACACAGAAGGAGGTAGGTGTTTGACACAATCAGCAACTGTGCTGTAAATGCTTGCAGATTAAAGCCCCCCCCCCCCCCCTCTGCCACTGAAGTTTTCGTCTACTTTAAGAAACTGTTATGGATCATATTCAGTGAGGACTCTAAGTCTCCTTCACAGTGTTGGGAAATCAAAGGAGGTCAGGATATTCTTTTCAATTGATAGCTGTAAATGAGCTAATTACCAAGAAGACATCTAGTTACTTCACAGGTATTCGACAAGCAACCGAACATTTGTGAATCCATTTCTGCACTTTTAAAGTACATAGATTGCAGCCTGATGAGCTGATTTTGTCATAGTCACCTTTAGTTTAAAAAGAATGAATACATATTACAGGTAAAACCATTAACCAAGTATTCATACATTTCATAATATATTCATAGTGGGTTTTCATGATCTTTTAAAATGACCCTGTTTCTTACCCTATGTGTGGCAGAGAAGGGACCTTTTCCTGAAACCTTCCCTCACTGCCAGGATGACACAGCCAAATGTGTCAAGGCAGGTCCCGCCATTCCACAAATCTGACCTATGTAAAATTAAGTATCTTGAAAAGGTGTAAACATTAGGGAAAGGTTAAGGATGGAATGTGGGATGTGCCAGAGACAGACTGTCTGTCTGGAAAAAGTAGAGTATCTTACTGGCCTTGGACCTATATTGTGAATTATTAATGCACATAGATTGAAGCAGAGTTATAAAAAGCAAGAGGAGTTGTGTATGCAAACAATCCCAGTCCCACTTTCACTTTGACATTTCACCAGTGAGGCTTGCGATGAGTATTATATCATCCACAATACTATAAATGTAAAAACAAATCTTTTCATTACATAATTCCAAGTCCAATTAGCCAAAACATTTTTTTCATATTTTTTTTTGCAAATAGTAGGGAAAAGTTTATATCTCTTTATTTTGTAATTGTTGTCCATGCCCCAGTTGGGAATTACAGGAAATATAGAGAATCTCACCAACAGACAGCAATAAAATAAGTGCTTTTATTACAATTCCATTGGATTCTACTCCCTTCCTGTCCAGGTCAATACACACTCTTTCAGACAACCAATGAAGGCACTCATTGAGTTGCTAATGCTATCCCTCAAACAAAGCGACAGAGCTAAAATCAGAAAGTTCACTTGGTTTACCTTAACCTGACATCCATGTAGTCACCTATAGAAGGAAAAATCAACCCCAAGATACCAATAAAAACCTGCAGGTTCGAAATGTCCCCACCCTATCAAATGTGACCTCGGAAGTACAAGTTTTTGAACTCTTTAAAAGTTTCCCTTTTGCATATTTGCTGCTACAAAGCATCTCTGATCCATCAGCTGCATTTTAAATTGTTTGTAGGAGCAATCTTTCATAAGAAGGGGTCGGGCAAAGGTGCCTTTATTCTCCATGTCCAGTCCCTGGCATTATCCCAGTGCTTGTTCCAAAAGCGGAGGAAAGAAATGAAGGGTTTGTAAATGTTGGGATGCCAGGCAGTGTAAGTCGCTATATATACATTGGACAAAAATATTTTTATCTACTGATTTTAATTCTGCCAAGTCCAAAAAGGCACTATTTTTTTGTAACAAAAGTGAATTTATCCAATAAGTTTTTTGCTCTAAGTTAACACACTTTCTTAGTTGCTCTTTGCATAATGAAACCCTTACCATGACTACTGCCATCGAATATTCTAGATATTAGAGAGTGTGGCAGATTCCAATGGATTTAAATGAAAAAGACAACAGAACTTGAAAAAACACCAGTAAAGAAGGAAGTTTCCTTACAAACCACGAGATGAAAATAACAGTAATGCTCAACAATAGCATGCCCAATGGCATGCTCAGTGAACAATATTCAAAAAATGTTTCTACAGCAACCAAACTACTGTGCAACGTGCTTCCAATGGTCAGTTAATTTCCACCTATGGAAGACCTATATTAACCACTAGCCTACAGGGCACTTATACCTCCTTCCTGCCCAGGCCAATTTCCAGCTTTCAGCAATGTTGCAATTTGAATGACAATTGCTCGGTCATACAACACTCTACCCATATGAAATTTTTATAATTTTTTTTGAGACAGATAGAGCTTTCTTTCAGTGGTATTTAATCACCTCTGGGATTTTTATTTTTTCTTAAACAAACCAAAAACCACTGAAAGTTTTGAAAAAAAAAAGTTTTTTCCTAGTTTTTGTTATAAATTTTGTAAATAAGTGATTTTTCTCCTTCACTGATGTGTGCTAATGAGGCTGCAGTGATGGGCACTGATAGGCTGCACTGATGGACACTGATAGGTGGCACTGATTTGCACTGATGAGGAGGCACAGGTAGGTGGCACTGATGGGCATTGACAGGCATCACTGATGGGCACTGAAAGGCAGCACTCATATATGGCACTGATAGGCGGCACTGATAGGTGACACTGACTGGCACTGATAGGTGGCACTGACTGGCACTGTTAGGTGGCACTGATTGGCACTGTTAGGCAGCACTGATAGGCAGCACTAACGGGCACTGAGAGGCGGCACTGATGCACACTGATAGGCGGCACTGACTGGCACTGATAGGTGGCACTGATTGGCAGCACTGATAGGTGGCACTGACTGGAATTGATAGGTGGCACTGACTGGCACTGATGGGTGACACTGAAAGGCAGCTCAGATGGGCACTGCTATGTGGCATGATGTGCACTGGTAGGCACTGATATGTGGCATTGATGTGGCACTGATGGGCACTGGCAGTCGGCATGGATGAGTACTGACAGCTGGCACTGATGGACACTGACAGGTGGCACTGCTGGGGCTACACAAATCATCAGGGCACACTGATCATCATTGCCCTGATGATCAATGCACATGACTGTGACAGCTCATGAGGAGAGAAATGCCGATAACCAGCATTTCCCTATTTACATGTGATCAGCTGTGATTGGACACAGCTGATCACATGACCAAGCTGACATCTTCGGCTCTTTCTGTTGAACGGTGATCTGCTGTGTCCGAGGGACACAGTGCACCACCGATCGCCACGCTGCACGCTCCCGGAGCCGCGCATGCGCAGTTAGAATGGGAGGACATCATAAGACGTCCTCCCAGAATGAGAGAACCGCCTTGCACCCATCATTGTACTATATGGCGGGTGGGAAGCGGTTAAAGCCCAACACCAGCCAAAAATGAAATGTAAAAAGTGCATTCTGCACCAATTGCCTTGCTCTTCAGTCTTAATAACAAACACCTTTTCCTCAGCCATTATGGATCAAAGTCACAGTTTTCTCTATGAGACCAGCAAACTTAATTCCCTGGGGACTAGGCATTATCTTTTTGGGCCCCGTTCCCCTGCCTCTAGAGCCTATGAGAGAAGACTTGGCCACTGGAAGGCTTGCCTCCACCAATAGGAGGTGTCTGCATCATGCAAGCAGCGATGTGGACACCCAAAGAAGGACCCCCAGAATAAACAGAAGATGGAAGAATCAGGCTAGGACGTCACTTGTCTATGGTTTCAAGCAAGTAAAATGGGCATTTAAATTGTTTTTTTTCATACCAGCAGTTAGAGGGGGTGTCAGGGAAGGTGGGAGGAAGTGTTGCAAAATCCTGGAGTTAGACTTTAGCCAATCTTCACAGGGGATGTTTGAATCAGAAAGGGATTGTGAGCTTCTTTAGTGCTGGATGGAATTAAATTTTAACTGGTAAATAATATCAGACAGCATGCATGTACACAGAAACTCCAAGCTAAGAATACTAGTCTTAGCAATACTGCATTTAAAGCAGAACTAAGTCCTCCTGTCCTTTACAGCCTAGAAAGCTGCCATCTTTGCCTACATTGATCTGCATTTGCTATGGTGTTCTGCATATGATCAGGTATGACATCAGCTATTTGATGGCTTGACAGCTTGGTTGAAAGCACAAACCGCTAGCAATTATCATTCACTGTATGCCTTAAATGTAACTACTTTGGAAAACCATTAAATCAAAGGGTTTAGTTCCGCTTTAAACTGTAATAGCACAATTAAAGAATATCAGAGTGTATTTTCACTTTTAAAGTACAAATGGGATAACATCTACTTTGTATTTGTTACATGTTTTCTTTCAAATAGCATAATTTAAAAAAATGAACATTTTTGCTTATGTTTTACTTACTGAAACAATTGAGTACTGTCCGTGATACTTTTTTCATTTGCACTAACATACAATTTTGAGGACAAGCTTTCGGGGAATGTCCCCTTCTTCAAGGTCCAAGCAGTACAATCACCTCAAGCATTTTACTTACTGAAATCTCTAAAAATGAAGTTCTGAATAAAAACAAACCCTACTGTATTAGTAAATAAGAATGACAGCGGTAGGGACAATTAACTGTAAACTCCTTGGTGGTTATGGACTAACATAAATGGTTCAAAGAGTTGCAGTAAAAATTAAAGCAGACCATCCATTACAATCAGCTAAAAACGACCCAACTGCAAATCATTTAAGCACACGTGAACTATTACCTAAAATAGGTTGTGGCCAACAGGAATCAAATTCCATTGGTTTTGGCTATAGCAAATTAGAGAAAGAAAACAAATGCAATGCATAGCAGGTCAAATGCAGCCTCAAAGCTCTTATTCATATTACACTATTGAGGTAAACAGATATCTACTTTGCAAATGCACATCAAACACAGAATAACAAAACACTTGTCTACACAAGCCCAAAAGAGGGACAGCTATGAAGGAGAGGGAGACAGAGAAGAATTTGGTCCTACAGCAGTTTATTAGGACAAACTGTATTGTTGCTATACATCAAGTTTGTGATATGTCTAAAATATTTTAGAAAAAGAGCTTTGAGATGTACTTTCTTTGCAGCAAATATAATTATAAAGCAACACTGACTAAAGCCACCTTTTATTTTACTTCATTTACACACCTTATTGTCGGGCTCTGTGCTTGCCCCCTGCAGCAGGTCACACAGGAAAGATATGTCAGGCAATTGATGTTTTTCAGGATTATCGTGTTCTTTCCATTCCTAAAAAAAGAAAAGACAAACAAATTCAAGAGACAATTTTATTATAATAAAAAATAAGGACAGTAGTATTGTTCACTTTCTACACTACAGCCAAAAGTTTGTGGATAACTATTACTCCTATAAGAGTTTGTTGGACATTCTTTCCAAAACCATGGCATAAATATGGAGCTGGGCCTTCCACTGCAGATATAACAGCCTCCACTTTTCTGGGAAGGCATTCTACAAGATTTTGGAGTGTATCTGTGGGAAATTGTGTTAATTTAGCCATTTCAGATCAGGTACTGATATTGGAAGAGAAGACTTAGCTCACAAACTGTGTTCCATATCATACCAAAGTGTTTATTAGGGTTTAGGTCAGGGTTCTGTGCAGACTACTTGAGTTCTTGCACACAAAACTTGTCCAACCATGTATTTTTAGACCTGGCTTTGTATACGGTGGTACAGTCATGGTGAAACATAAAGAGACCTTCCTTATACTGTTCCCACAAGGTCGAAAGTGGCACAGTTGTCTAATATGTCTTTTTACGTGGTAGCATTCAGATTGCTCTTTGCTGGGAACAACTGAACTCAGTAATTTGGAAAGGTGTCCATGTACTTTTGGCTATATAGTGTTAGTACATGACTGAAGCCCAGAACCTCCCCCCACTGAACGTCAGAAGGAAGTAGCAGTTGGGGGGGGGGAGGACAGGGAAGGATACATAGGCAAGCTGGATTTCATCTCTTAATGGGTGGAATCCTGATGACAGAGCTCCTAGGCTCACAGAAGTAAACCGTGACCACAAAGACCAGAAGTAATGCAGGAGGTGGCAGGCTTTGTTTGGATATGACTTTTGCTTGTGTTAGACACTGGCAGGGATATAATCTTCTCCTGCTTAAGGTGAATGCTCTAGCTAATGAGGTTTTCTAAAATAAATAGGTTAATATCACAGGGTCAGATTTTTGACTACACAGCATAAATCCCTTGGGAACAAGGTGGGACAGATAGTTTACCTGTGTGATGACATCAAGTCAATATGAAATCCCTTGGGAACAAGTCAATATGAAATCCCTAGGGAACAAGGTGGGACAGGTAGTTTACCTGTGTGATGACATCAAGTCAATATGAAAGGACACATACACTATCCATACCTAGCCACCTAATTTTCTCACATACACATGGCGAGGTACTCCAGGGTTAATAACTGATATGAAGAAAACAAACATGTTGTATCAATTCATGTTCTGGGTCCAAAGTTTTGTAGAGTTTTTGGGGGGATAAATCTTCAAGTAAACATCTTACCTAGGAGCCTGACCTCATTATTAGCCTCAGTCTTCCACAAGCCTTTATATATGTGAGCTGACTGATGTATGAGGCTCTCTCTCTTGCTTTCTCTGCTAAGAACCCAGAGCTTGCTGCTGGGTGAAAAGGCTAAGTACTGACAGAAAATACAACTGTACATATGCTGCCTATTTCTTTGGGGAACCAATTAGGGGACAATATATATATATATATATATATATATATATATATATATATTAATAGATAGATAGATAGATAGCTAGACACACTTCTCAAAAAAAAATAAAGGAACTCTTATTAATCAGAGTATAGCATCCAGTCAATTAAACTCCTGGGATATTGATCTGGTCAGTTAAGTAGCAGAGCTGGTTGTTGATCGGTTTCAGTTGCTTTGGTGTTAATGAAATTAACAACAGTTGCTCTAGATACATGAGACGACCCCCAAAACAGGAATGGTTTCACAGGTGGAGGCCACTGACATTTTTTTCCCTACTCATCTTTTCTGACTGTTTTTCACTAGTTTTGCATTTGACTAGGGTCAGTGTCACTACTGGTAGCATGAGGCAATACCTGGACCCTTCAGAGGTTGCACAGGCATTCCAACTCCTCCAGGATGGCAGATCAATAGATGCCATTGCCAGAAGGTTTGCTGTGTCTCCCAACAGAGCCTAAACAGCATGGAGGAGATTCCAAGAGACAGGCAGTTACTCTAGGAGAGCTGGAGAGGCCTTAGAAGGTCCTTAACCCATTAGCAAGACCAGTATCTGCTCTTTTGTACAAGGAGGAACAGGATAAGCACTGCTAGAGCCCTAAAAAATGACCTCCAGTAAGCCACTGGTATGAATGTCTCAGACCAAACAATCAGAAACAGACTTTATGAGGGTGGCCTGAGGGCCTGACGTCCTCTAGTGGGCCCTGTGCTCACTAACCAGCACCATAGAGCTCGATTGGCATTTGCCATTGAACACCAGATTTAGCAGGTTTGCTACTGGCACCCTGTGCTTTTCACAGATGAGAGCAGGTTCACCCTGAGCACATGTGACAGATGTGAAAGGGTGTGGTGAAGCTGTGCAGAACGTTATGCTACCTGTAACATCATTTAGCATGACTGTTTTGGTGGTTGGTCAGTGACTGTCTGGGGAGGAATATCCATGAAGGGATGCACAGACCTCTACAGGCTAGACAATGGCACCTTGACTGCCATTAGGTATCGAGATGAAGTCCCTGCACTCATTGTCAGAACCTACACTGGTGCAGTGGGTCCTGGGTTCCTCCTGGTGCACGACAATGCCCGGCCTAATGTGGCGAGAGTATGCAGGCAGTTCCTGGAGGATGAAGAAATTGTTACCACTGAATGGCCCCCATGCACGCCTGATCTCAATCCAATAGAAAACCTCTGGGAAATCATGTTTCGGTCTATCTGACGCCGCCAGGTCGCACCTCAGCAGAGCTCAGTGATGCCCTGGTCCAGATCTGGGAGGACATACCCCAGGACACCATCCGTCATCTCATTAGGAGCATGCCCTGACATGGCATGCATACAAGCACGTGGGGGCCATACAAATGACTGAGTACCATTTTGAATTGCTCCAATGAATTTCAGAAAAATGGACTAGCCTGCTGCATCATTTTTTCAGTTTGATTTTTGGGGTGTCTTTGAATTCAGTCCTCTGTACGTTGATAATTTTCATTTCCATCAAACAATGGGGCATCCTTACGTTCCTAACACATTACCCAGTCCATATCAGTATAGATATCCAGCATGATATTTTTCCCCATTGAGATCTGATGTGTTTTCAAAGTGTATATATACACACATACTTACAGTGAAGGAAATAAGTATTTGATCCCCTGCTGATTTTGAATGTTTGCCCACTCACAAAGAAATGATCAGTCTAAAAATCGAATGGTAGGTGTATTGTAACACTGAGAGACAGAATAGCAACAAGAAATGCATGTCTTACAAATTCTGCACTGATTTGCATGTTCATGAGGGAAATAAGTATTTGATCCCCTTATTTCATTCACTGTATATATATATATATATATATATATATACACATATATATATATACAGTGGGGATTGAAAGTTTGGGCACCCCAGCTAAAAATTTGTATTAATGTGCATAAAGAAGCCAAGGAAAGATGGAGAAATCTCCAAAAGGCATCAAATTACAGATTAGACATTCTTATAATATGTCAACAAAAGTTAGATTTTATTTCCATCATTTACACTTTCAAAATAACAGAAAACAAAAAAATGGCGTCTGCAAAAGTTTGGGCACCCTGCAGAGTTAATATCTTGTACTGCCCCCTTTGACAAGTATCACAGCTTGTAAACGCTTTTTGTAGCCAGCCAAGAGTCTTTCAATTCTTGTTTGAGGTATCTTTGCCCATTCTTCCTTACAAAAGTCTTCCAGTTCTTTGAGATTTCTGGGCTGTCTGTCACGCACTGCTCTTTTAAGGTCTAACCATAGATTTTCAATTATGTTGAGGTCAGGAGATTGTGAAGGCCATGGCAAAACCTTCAGTTTACGCCTCTTGATGTAATCCCCCGTGGATTTCGAAGTGTGTTTAGGATCATTATCCATTTGTAGAAGCCATCCTCTCTTTAACTTCAGCTTTTTCACAGATGGCATCAAGTTACCATCCAAAATTTGCTGAAATTTTATTGAATCCATTTTTCCTTCTACTCGTGAGATGTTCCCTGTGCCACTGGCTGCAACACAACCCCAAAGCATGATTGATCCAACCCCATGCTTAACAGTTGGACAGAGGTTCTTTTCATTCAATTCTGTGCCCCTTCTTCTCCAAACGTACATTTGCTCATTCCGGCCAAAAAGTTCAAGTTTAACCTCATCGGTCCACAGAACTTGTTTCCAAAATGCATTAGGCTTGTCTATATGTTCATTTGCAAAGTTCAAACGATGATTTTTTGTGGTGAGGACGCAGAAGAGGTTTTCTTCTGATGACTCTTCCATGAAGACCATATTTGTACAAGTATCTCTTTATAGTGGAATAGTGTACCCACAACTCCAGTGTCTGCCAGATCTTTCTGGAGGGATCATGCAGTCAAACGTGGGTTTTGAATTGTTTTTCTCACAATCCTGCGAGCTGTTCTGTCTGATATTTTTCTTGGTCTTCCAGATCTTGCTTTAACTTCCACTGTTCCTGATGACTGCCATTTCTTAATTACATTCCGAACAGAGGATATTGACATCTGAAAACGCTTTGCTATCTTCTTATAGCCTTCTCCAGCTTTGTGAGCGTCAACTATTTTCAGTTTCAGTTTTCTAGACAACTGCTTAGAAGAACCCATGGTGCTGATTGCTGGGGCAAGGTCAGATGAGTCTGGGCATTTAAAACCTTTGAGATTGACATCACCTGGTCTTCCCAGACGATGATTGAGAACAATCCATGACACTGGCAGGTCTCAGCTTGGCAAAGGGGGCAGTGCATGCTATAAATTCTGCAGGGTTCCCAAACTTTTGCAGACGCCATTTTTTTTGTTTTCTGTTATTTTGAAAGTGTAAATGATGGAAATAAAATCTAACTTTTGTTGACATATTATAAGAATGTCTAATCTGTAATTTGATGCCTTTTGGAGATTTTTCCATCTTTCCTTGGCTTCTTTATGCACATTAATACAAATTTTTAGCTGGGGTGCCCAAACTTTCGATCCCCACTGTATATTAGAGATGCACCAAAATTTCGGGGGCAGAAAC